GGCCAAAGACACGTGAGTAATATAGTACACTTAATGCCCTGCCCGGCTATTATGTTTCATCTTTTGTAAATTTCCTTCCTGGAGCACTAGTATTCTTTCTCTTCTGATAAAATAACTTTGAGTTATTGATTCATCCAAATAGTAATGACTAATGCTATTAGACTCTCAGATGATGCCTGCAGGTAGAAAATGGAAGGTTCTGGTGATCAGGGAGCATGTCATGATAGAACCCTTGGAAGAAAGTCCCAAGGGGTAGTTTGCAAACATCCCTATCATGCACCCATTTCACAGATCTGATTGCAACATGTGGGCAGCAACTGCCTAAACCTCTCCTTATAAGGCACAGTGTACCATGGACTCTTACAATTAGCAATGGAAAAATGAGAAGGGGCTTAAAGATCAACTTGCCCCAACCCATCATTTCAAAGATAAGGGATCAGATGTTGAAGTTAAATAATGCCCCACAAGTTAACACCATGAGCTGGACCCCAGCGTCAATACTAGTTTGTAACACATCACTAACCCTTAAAACACTAAGATGTCTATTTAAATATGAAGATTTCCTCAAGGCTGTTTTGTCAGGATATATACATTAAAAAATTCTCCATATCATAGAAAAGCCTGAAAATGACCTGAACAACCCAGGAGACTCTGAGGTTCTGGAGGGCAGGGACCGGGTGATACTCATGCCTGCATTTCCCACGTCCAGTTTACGCTGTAAGTATGCTGAGCACTCAGATGTGTGTGGAAGTGATCAAAGAGAACATGCAATGGAATGATTGAATTTTCAAAACAATTGCTACCTTTGCTTGTGCTCAACTTACAAAAAGTACTTAATCTCATAAATTACCTAGTAAGATGAACATATCAGGTCAAGCCAGTTTTTCCTAAACCGTGAAACCTTTTCTGCCTCAGTTTGAACAACTGAAGATAGAGTATATCAAAAGGATCCTGGTAAGAACAACTTCCATAAAAACCTCCGGTGCTCTGACACAGAGGTGTTTCTGATACACATACTGAAGACGGCGTGTGATGGCAAGTAAGAGCACACGCCAGCATCACCTGAGGCCCTGTAGCGCTTAGGAATTTTGTGGAGTATCTGAAGCAAATGTTTTAACCCCAGGATAGCAGCCCCTGTTCCAAGTTGACCACTGAATGCAAACCGAAATAAAACAAAAATTGGAAGATAAGTCTCCAAGGGAACCACGCAGTCCACTTCCAAGCCTTGTGTGGACCGACAAAGGCTTTATAAGTTCCAGAAACAGGTAAGGCAGAAAATGTCTTTAACAAGTTGTGTAACTGTAAAATAAAAGGTACAGTATGACTTGATGAAAAATAACCAGGTAAGACAAAGGGTGCTCCAGGTACATGTCACTGAACAGAAACCCTGATTTGCAACATGTTAGAGAAGAGGCCTTCAGGGGCCTGTACTGAGCGCAAAGGAAATAACCTAGGAATCAACCGTGAGGCATGCTGCGGCTTTCCTCTCAAAGCTGACCTGGTGTCATACTGCAAATGCTGAAAAATGATAATATAGATTGACACAGTGCTTGAACTGCTTCTCACTAGCCTCCAGAAAATGCCGCAGAGTCAGGCCTGGGCAGAACCCTGGGGGTTTACTCACAGGAGAGCTGAGCCCATCTCTGACTCAGGGACAGCAGTCACAGCAGGGTGGGGTCTTGTGCTGAAAACAGGGCGGGCAAATCCACTTACTGAACAGGGAGCCCTCCTCTCTCCTTCCTCTGCTCCATTCCCAAGCATGGAATCAGAGGATTTCTTTCTGGAGAAATCGACTAACCCAAGAGAAAAGACCTTAGCAACTGATACTTAGGGGTTCCCCAGTGAAAGCCAGCCAGCACTTTATACAAACAGTGAAGCCTACTACCCAGTAAGCTCTGTCTCTGCACAAAGAGCTCGTGATCAGATCTGAGTGCCTTCAATACAAACAGATAACCAAGGATCGCTGGGCATTTGAGGAAAGCTTTTAACTTGAAAGACAAAAATTATGAAAGAAAAAAGGGAATTCAAAAGAAACAGCAAAATCCAGTAACAGAAGAAAACATTTTTTAAAAATCATGAAACAGAAGAAAAAATGATATGCTCAGAGAGATAATGCATCCATGAAAAGTATGGGTTATCTGAACCAGAGAATAAGCAATGGCTCTTGAAAATTAATAAAAAGATAGCAGAAATTAAATATTTAATAAAAGTTGGAAGATAAAGTTACAGAAATTTTCTAGAAGAAACTGCAAAACAGAAAAAATTAAGAAAACGAAAGGGGCTTCCCTGGTGGCGCAGTGGTTGAGAGTCCGCCTGCCAATGCAGGGGTTGCAGGTTCGTGCCCCGGTCCGGGAAGATCCCACATGCCGCAGAGTGGCTGGGCCCGTGAGCCATGGCCACTGAGCCTGTGCATCCGGAGCCTGTGCCCCGCAACGGGAGAGGCCACAACAGTGAGAGGCCCGCGTACAGCAAAAAAAAAAAAAAAAAAAAGAAAACGAAAGGACTGCTCTAGATGATCTAATTGCTAACAGGAATTTCCAAAAGAGAGGATAGAAAATGGAAGGAGGAAATTTTCCAAAGAATAATGGAAGACAATACTCTAAAACTGAACAGCAGAGTTTTCAGACTGAAAGAGCCCACTGAGTAGCCAGTACAACGAACAAAAAAGGCCCACAATTTTATAAAATTTCAAAGCATGAGGGATAAAGAAGATTCTAAGAGAAGGGGAATAAAACTGGTCCCACCCGAAGGAGGAGGAATCAGAACTGTATCAACTTCTTAGCATTGGAAGCTACAAAAATCAGCAATGCCTCAATATGCTGAAGGAAAATGATTTCCAACCTGGAATCCTACCCAACCAGATGATCAGTCAAGCTTGAGGGAGGAGAATAAAAACAATTTTAGACCTGCTAAAAACAAATGTATTATCTTACAGTTTTGGAGGTCAAAAGTCTGAAATGTGATTCACTGGGCTAAATCAAGGTATCAGCAGGGCTGCATTCCTTCTAGGGGCTCTAGGGAGAATCTGCTTCCTTGCTTTTTCCAGCTTATGGAAGCTGCCTGCATTCCTTGGCTTGTGACCCCTTCCTTCATCTTCAAAGCCAGTAGAATAGCATCTTCAAATCTCTGGCTCTCACCCTCCTGCCTTCCTCTTATAAGAGCCTTTATGGGGCTTCCCTGGTGGCGCAGTGGTTGAGAGTCCGCCTGCCGATGCAGGGGACGCGGGTTCGTGCCCCGGTCTGGGAAGATCCCACATGCCGCGGAGCAGCTGGGCCCGTGAGCCATGGCCGCTGAGCCTGCACGTCCGGAGCCTGTGCTCTGCAGCGGGAGTAGGCCACAGCAGTGAGAGGCCCGCATACCGCAAAAAAAAAACAAAAAAACACCCTTATGATTACATTCGGCCCACATGGATAATCCAGGAAAATCTCCCCATCTCAAGATCTGTAATCACAGCTGCAAAGTCCCTTTTGACAGGTAAGGTAACATATCCCATAGGTTCCAGGGATTAGGATGTGGGCATCTTTTGGAGGTCATTATTCTGCGTAGCTACCATACGAAGCCTCAAAATTTGTATCTGCTGTGCATCCTTTCTCAAGAAGATTAAGGAGGCCTCCCCAAACTCTGATGTCTGCCCCCTCAATTCAGTGAGACAGGTGAGCTGTTTCTGTTTTCCCCTCAGCACTGTAGCCTGGAAAATGCCTTGAGGAGTAAGCTGGGACGATCACAGGGCTCTCCTTATTTGTTTCCCTTCTCTTAGGAATCATGGTGCTGCACAACCTGTTTTCCAATGTCCAAAGTCCATTGTTTCTTTTTTTTTCCTCCCAGTTTGTTTTCAACAGGAGAACAACGCCCATGGCCCTTCAAGGACAGAAGAAAAAGTTTCCAAGGCTTCTTTAGGTATTATGCCTACCTGTAACTCTAACGCCTTTATTCACAACCCTATTCCCATTCACAATCCAAATTAGTGAACTGAGGTATACTACATAATCCGAGAGAGAGACAGTCGGAGAGACAAACAGAATGAGAGAGATGGACAGACAGATTAGGAACAAGTAAGGAGCCTGATGTTGTGAAAGACAATGCCTAGAAATCTAGGTTCTCGCCCCAATTCTGTTGCTAACTGGGTCTGTGCTTTTAGTAATTTAACATCGCAATGCCTCAGTTTCCTCACCACGTAGGACAACTGTGAACTAAGACTGTGGAATACTTCTTCCACAAAACACTGTTATCCTTTACTTCCTCTTAAATCCACCCGCCCCACTACACCCTCAATCCCGCCTCCTCAGGGCAAAGTTATAACTGGCCACATTCCTTCTAATGCTTTCTACCCCAGAAGACCAGAATTGGGACTAAGCTCTGGAATTTCTGCCATTTATAGTTACGCCAGCATGGCCAAAACACAATATTACCCTCAATGCCAGATTCCATGCTAAATTCCAAATGAAAGTTATTTCTTCTCCGTACTTTCTACAAGAAGCAGAAACTAAAGCCTTTCCTTGTTCATCGAGCCTACTAATTATTCAGATAAATGTTTACTTTCAGTTTCTCCTAAAATTGAATTTTTCAATTGAGGAGAAATCAATTTCTCCTAAAGAATTCATACAAAATAACTTTTCTGTTCTATTACCAACACCAAAATCAACATTTTCCTGTGAATTCCATGGCTTATAGAACACCTCAGTATAGAATCTAGTTCACTAGCTTTATTTCTTTGAGCAACGAAGGAAGAAGTATTTACATCTGACAAAGTCATTTCCTAATTTTGCTCGGGCCAGTCTGTTAGTGGTGGTTTGGTGGAAACCTTTACTCAAGTCAGATTCTTCCCTACATACCTTCTTGTGGTCCTCCGAAACCAGCCCTTACGTTCCCCTCTGTTTCTCTTGCTCTCTCTCTTTCTGTCCGTTTCTCACAGCTCGGTGTTCTTTCCCACACCCCACAATGTGACAGAGCACCAAACTGCAGAGCGTGGCATGGTGGGCGGAACTGCGATCAGCCATTACCTGGTGAGATCCAGAAGGTAGGCTCTTTACTAGACCCTCTGTGTCGGAGGGGGACTTCCGTGGAGCCCGCTTAACCGGTGACACATTCTCTGATGTACTGCCGCTGATGAGTTGGCAATTTGGAGAATGTAAAAAAAAAAAGGAATTAAAATAAATGGAAACAAAAAATATAGAAATGCAAGTGATGACAAAATGAAGCAGAAGATGTATAAAAACAAAACTCAACAAAACAATGAGTATCAAAACAATCACGTATCTTGAAACTATTTTTTTATCCCTGACACTAATTCTTCCAAGTCGGTGAAGCTACTCCAGGGGAGGTACAAGAATCCAGTGTGGTGCAGTCTCTTTGCCCCAGTTTATAACAATGATATCTGCTGGATGGGATTCTGGCTACAATGTACATTTATCCTTTTGCTTCTTTGGCTTTTTCCCCTACCATAAATCCTCCTTTGGGATACAGGTTTAAAGGAGCAAGCTATACCTTCTTGATAGCAATTCGCTTTTGTGATCATCAAAGGCAAACCTCTTCTGAATGTGCTTCCAAAATGACAGATACTGATCCAGGCTCATAGTCTTGGCTTATCTCATTCCTTCCATCCCCTAGGTCCCCATAGTTTGTTTCCCCATCAATTCCGCAACCAAACCCAAGAAAATCCAGGAAGTCATGGATGATAAGAAACTGTGGAATGCCACATCACATGGCCTGAACTTTTTCAGGGGCGTCGGGGTCTTCAACAGCAAGCCCTATCTCATAAATAAACCAGGGAAAGTGAATGCCAGGAGGTAACTCGTTAGGGATTCCCTAATGGGATGTGTCTTCAGCAGAGCTTCAATCCCTTATAACGTACTTTTAAAAAATCTTAGGAGTGTGGAGAGAATCACATTTAAAGTGTCGTTACTAAGACCAAAGCATACAAAGCATTCTGCAAACTGTGCCTTCTCTGAACCGGGAGGCTATATGCCACAAACCAAAATGGTTTGAGTATTGTAACACAAAGAGTCTAACTCAGTAATAATACAATTCAAGTATAAAAAAACTAAAACACACACACACACAAAGGCGTTTTACGTGAAGAACATATATGTTCAGATGACCATAAAACCTGACAACCCAATTTCACTGGGATGGTACACTCAACATGTTTCTAACACAGACACATGACATATTTGTGGACAAACCATGATAGCTGTTGGGTTAGCTCAGAGCTGGCTAGTTAGTTGTCAACAAGGGAGATGGGCTGAATACATACACATGAATATTAACAGCAACGGCCAATGTGATTAGTTACCATGTGTCTAGTGGGAGTGGAAGAGGAGACCCAGCCCTGTTATAGTCCCAATGTGTCGTCTATGTCAGCTTTTCTTAAGAAGTGGAAGATAGGCAGGATCTGATCCCGGCACACCAAGGTAGAAAAGGCAGGGGAGGGGGAAAAAAAAACCAAAGTAAGAAGAATAGCAGCATTCACGATGCCATGCAGAATTCTAAGGCACACTTTTCCGTGCCTTTATTAACCCAAAAAGCGTGAACTGCAGAGACTGGCGTGTCACCATCCTGGATTAGTTTCATGTCGAAAACCAATGCTTCGGTTACATTTCATCATAAACCACTCACCATGCAAGGGGGCAGGTACAGTCAGCAGAATAGAAACATTCCAAGCAAATGATATCTGAATTTGAACACTTAAAACTCCTTAAAACACAGCACTCCTAAAAAGTAGAGCGGCACAGCCCAAAGCGAGAGGTCCCCACCATCCACCAGCCAGGGAGTCCAGGGCATGCAACCCTCAACCACAGTCCCTTCCGTGCGCCGGGGACGCAGCTCGTGCTACATCAACTGAAACCCAGCCTCACTCTCAGTCTTACCACACAAGTTCTACCAAGCTTATACAGGCTAGCTTTCCAGCTGGAGTGGCGAAAAGAGAGGGTCCTTCAATTAGACACACACCCTATGCTCAAACGTGTTGTCTTTGAGAAGCCGCAAACAAAACGGAAGTCTACCTTTCTTTATTGCTGGTATATTTTGATGTTCAACTCTTATTAACTCAGCTTGGCAGCGAGTCCAGCCATGCATTCGAGAATGGTCAAAGCAATAAACCTCCTTACCAAACTACAAACAGGAAAAGCCCTGCATCATCACATCAGGTGGGGGTCATTTATCAGCATACTCCTCTTAATATTATTATTATATTTACCTAACTGAAAAGAAGAACCTTATGAGATTATTACCTAGAGATCAAGTTAAACTCATATTAGGTGAGTGATATCTGTGGCTTAATAATGCTAATTGCAGAGTGGATGATACTGAAACACAGAGCACAGACTACTGAGCGGTCCATTTCACCAAACCTAAGAAAGAAACTGAAACAGGGATTAGTGTCATAGTCTACGTTTAACAGCAGGCCACTGATTTCTGCTTGCCCGTGTCAGAACATCTTCTAAGAAGATGGCTCGATTCTGACATGAAAGCTAACAGTAGCTAATTCTTCACAATTCTTTTCCCATAAAGCATACAGAAGTTTTCCTAAACTCTGATTCCTTCCCTCCACCCTTCCCCCCAAAAGCAGAGCTTCTTACCCGGTGTAATCCCGTTTAGAGTTTTTCCTTCTATAGAGGACAGCCAGAATCATGGTGATGAGCAGAGTGAGACCTAGGACCACAGCAGTAACTATACCCACCACCACCCAAACTGGAAACGCAGGCAAAATCTCTAGAGAGAAAGAACAAAATAGGTTTAAGGTACATTGCGACAGAGAGAAGAAATGGAATTGTATTAAGTTAATAAACAAGTGTCTTCCTTTAGCAATTACCATACCCTATTTTATTATCCAAATTATGAGATCCTAGTACCTAATTGATGACATAGGAACATTAGCTGATAAAGAATGAGCTTTAGAACTAAAAACATTTCTATATACATAATCCCTCTCAGTGCTCTAAAATCAAAGAAAAGCTGGGGATGTGAATTTACCTCAATCTATTCTCCAACAAAGCAGACTTTGTCTCGAAATGAGAGAGCAGAACCTGCATTTCCTGCTTATTCTCCAAAAAAGGTGAAGAAATAGCTATACTGTTTCTGCCAATGTTAAAGCTTTCTCCTGGAGAATATTAAAACAATATTAATCTCCTTCTTTCCCAATACTCACCCCATCCAACTATAATGAATCTGGTCTTACTTCTAATTAACAGTGAAAAATTCATACTCCTTTAATCTGATCAATATGCCCCAGACAGCAGGTTTATAAATGGAGAAATCAGCCACTCCGGTTGGAATGAGCTCCCTGACCCGCAGGCATGTTCGGTAGAGCCACAGGTCGATGGAAACAGGGAGCATAACTGTATGGCAGAAATACCCCTTTCAAACACACCCTGAAATGTAACTCTTGTTCTCTAACTAAGCATGAGATAAAGGGGACTGAATCATTACTGCAAAAATACTCAAGGAAGTACCTTTCTCTACAACATAAAGCCTAATGTGTCCTGGCTGGACAACAATGTCAGGCGGATTTTTGACATCACAGATGTAGGTGCCATTGTGTATAAACTGCATATTTTCTATGTTGATTGATGCATCTTTCTTGTCGAGGTCTCCAGCCCAGCTGATTCTGTCCTTAAATGGTGGGTAATTCCCGGCATACACTTGCCCTTGGGAGTAGTGGAAAAACTGCAATTAGAAAAAAAGAACACATGAGCTATTCTCAAAGGTAGAAGTTCTAAACTCTATTATAGGCATGCTGTGAAGTTTTTTTAAAAAAAGACGTCATCCGAGGAGCTCCAATCAAGATGGCAGAGTAGAAGGATGTGAAAAAAAGACTTCATCCAGAAAGAAATGCCACATCATATTACAAATCTCAAGCTATAGAACCTAAGCCAGACAGGGATTTAGAAATCATGGAGTTCAACCCTGTTTCAGTTGGAGAAATAAATGTGTACGTTCTCTCTAAACCTCTCAATAGCCCAGTGGTGTAGCAATTACCACCCATATTTTTATAATAAGGAAATGGAGACTCAAAGAAACCATTTGCCCAATGTCACAATGACAATAGGTGGTGGATCCAGAGTTAAAGTCAGGACCACCTGACTCTTCAAAGCCAATGCTCTGATGGGCACCACAATTGAGCCCAGTGAATCCAAAGGTTTCAGCCTTAACTCACAAAGCTTACCATTAAGATATGCAAAGTCCTCAAGAAAAAGAAGCCTAAATATCACAGATCAGTTAATCTGATGGGTTACCCAGTCTTACTTACTGGTTTCCTACAGAAAAGTCATGGACATGTGAAAGGAACACAGCCCAGACAACCCAAAATGTTCTCGTCCGCCTTTGCAGGTTCAGCCTTTAGCCCCTTTCTCTTTCCACTCTCACTCTCTCCTCAGACCTGCTTTCAGCAAAGGAACTCATTTCTCAAAGTAACTTTGTCAAACCCAGCCCCCTGGAAGTAAGGTCAGGCCCGGTGGGTGGGGATCTATCCTGATATGCGGCTTCAATCCAAGCACCTCTGCTACAGGCTGGATGTCTGTTCATATTCACAGATGCGGCGACAGTGGGGTTGGGGAGGGTGGTGGAAATGAGCATTAGTCAACCACTGAGCTGCACTGGCAATCCAAACACAACATTTTCAGAACCTTTTGTGGAAGCTGAAAACCCCTGTGCAATCTCATCCATTCCTATGATTTAATGGCCATCTACATTTTGTTAACTCGCAAACCTCTCTCACGCATAGTGCTTCTTGGAGCTCTAGACCCCTAATCCAACTGCCTACTCACGCAGCTGCCTCCACCCTCCAAGTCTGCCACCTTCTCCTATCAACTCCGTCTTCTACCTGTGTATCTCATCTTGACTGATGGCTACATGCCAGTCTCCCAAACCATAAATTTTGGAGTTATCGTTAATTCCTCTGTCTTCCTCCCCATCCAATTAATTTCCCAATCCTGGGACTTCCCTGGTGGTCCAGTGGTGAAGAATCCACCTTCCAATGCAGGGGATGCGGGTTCGATCCCTGGTCGGGGAACTAGCATCTCGCATGCTGCGGGGCAACTAAGCCCGCGCTCCACAACTACTGAGCTCATGTGCCTCAACTAGAGCCCGCATGCCGCAAACTACAGAACACACACACCCTGGAGCCTGCACGCCACAACTAGAGAAGAGAAAACCCACAGGCCACAACTAGAGAGAGGCCCGTGCACCACAACAAAAGATCCTGCATACCTCAACGAAGATCCTGCATGCCGCAACTAAGACCTGACGCAGCCAAAAATAATAAATAATAAATCATTAAAGAAAAAAAAATCCCCAATCCTGTCAATTCCATCTCCTAAGTTTCTCTTTTCTATTTAATTCCCACTGATAATACCTGATTTTCATGTCCTCATCGTCTTGGGCTATGACCTCTTAACTGGTCTCAAGCTCCTCTAATCCATCCTCCACAATGCCTAAATGATTATTGGGAAAAAAAAAATTAAAAACCATTTATCAAATATAGACCCTGTGTTTAATATAACTAATGCTTGTTAGGAACTATGAAGGCTCTGAGGTTTTACCCTCCCTGCAAGTCTGCCACAGGTTCACAGATGCTGGCAGAAGACACAAGACTCCTGGGAAGTCTTTGTTCTCATGAAGAAGACTTGGAGACAAAGGACCCTATTACTTACAAACAGCCAGCAGCATGTTTTTATCTGTGGCCCCTGCCCCCCAAGGCCCATAGGGACGGCATGGAGGGGCTTGGGTGGATGCTGTGCGTGCAGAGGCTCGGTATCACAGCTGAGGAGCCCCAAGCTTAGGAAACCCAAATCTTTTATAATGGCCCCAAAGGGAGACATATTACTATCTTGGACAGTAAGCAAACCTGTCCTCTGCTACAGAGGGAGACACCGTCTCTGCCTTCCAAAGCTAGTCGCTGAACAAGAAAGGCAGCCAGGGCCTCCGCTTATAAGATGGGCAGAAATGTTAAGTACCATGAAAAATAACATTCTGACACTCATAACCACGCTGCAAGGTGAGATTCACCTTGCCAGATATTTGGCAAGTGAGGAAAGAGGCTCAGAAAACCTTAGTGACTTACTCAAGGTCACAGGTCTCGGAGACAGAATTCAAAGCTTAAGCTATTTCCATTATTTAATGCCTCTCATGTCTGATCATATCTCGCCTGCCCCAAACCCTTCACCTCTCTTCTTAACCAGGAAATAAATCATAAACTCTTAGCTTAGCAAACAAGTCCTTCTGTCATCTGGTCTCTGCTTTCCTTTCTACCTCATCTACAAACGTCCTCTGAAGCAGCAACACAGACCTACACTACACTCTTTCCCACCTTTGGGTCTCCGCAAACCTCTCCCTCATCAGACTGGGTGCCCTCTGAAGGCAGGGTACAAGCTGTATTTCTCTCTGTGCTCCTCCACACTTAGCACATCACAGGAGCTGTATATGTTTGCTGAACCGCACTGATTAATAACGCTTTGGTCAAACCAGTAAGAAAAAGAAAAATGAAACAGTAGAAAAACACACACAAAAGGGACTAGATCTCCTTATCAACCAACATTTATTAAGTAAAAGCCACAGTGTTAAAACCATGAGGGACGCCAAAGGTGTAAGATAGATCTCTACCCTCAAAATGCTTACATTCAAGATAAAAAAGAGAAAAACTATCATAGCAAGGGACGTTCTCTCACAGGAGTGGCCCAGATAACATGGGCAGGGAGTTTTTAAGAGCTAAAAAGATCAAAAGAGGTCTTACGGAGGGATCACAATGTGAAGATGGGATACAACTTAAATGGCAAGAGTTCAGAAGTGGAAAAACAAAGCATAAAGCACTTTTTACTAGACTGAAGGAGATCACATGAGAGAACAGAAGTGGGGCTATAACAGACGAGCACTGTTTGCAATGGGAAACTCTGAGGATTCTAACTAGGGCAGTGGTGAGGTGAAAGAACTGTTTTAAGGGGCTTCCCTGGTGGCGCAGTGGTTGAGAGTCCGCCTGCCGATGCAGGGGACACGGGTTCGTGCCCCGGTCCGGGAAGATCCTACATGCCGCGAAGCGGCTGGGCTTGTGAGCCATGGCTGCTGGGCCTGCATGTCCGGAGACTGTGCTTCCGCAACAGGAGAGGCCACAACAGTGAGAGGCCCGTGTACCGCAAAAAAAAAAAAAGAACTGTTTTAAGACAAGGCACCTGATAGACTGTAGGACTGGGTTGAAAGATGGATAATTTGAAGTGGGGGAATAACCAAGGGGGTTGCCGCACAAGTCCCGGCACACAGTTTTTATCACTTAATGGAGAGCGGAGAAGCAGGAAGGCTGACAAAAAGCTAGATGCCAGAAACAAAGTAGGAAGGGCCAGCAAACGCCCTTATTTCTCAGGGTGGGTGTGAGGAATAGAAGGGAAGAGGTAGTGGATGGGGAAGGAAGGACAGCCCCCGCCCCCACAAAGCTCAAGTTTTAAAAACAAATAAGGTCCCTAGAAGAACATAAATACCCAAAAAGAACTAGCACAGAAGGGAAACAGAGGGGAGAAAAGATGAGCTCTGTTTTAGACATGTGGACCCTAATTCCATGGACCAGAAAACCCATATCTGGTATGTTGGGCTTGATTTTACTTCTCCTGAAAATCTATAAAAATGAAGAGCGTCCTGCTCATCTTATTAACTATGCCCTGACATTTGGGAGGTAAAGGATCCTGTATCAGTGACTGAACATTCTGGAATTAACCATAATCAGATTGGTGTGTAAGTATAAATTGATTAGCTAAAAACATTAATCAGAAATACGGCATGTTTGGACTTCCCTGGTGGCACAGTGGTTAAGGATCTGCCTGCCAGCGCAGGGGACACAGGTTCGAGCCCTGGTCTGGGAAGATCCCACATGCCACGGAGCAACTAAGCCCGTGCGCCACAACTACTGAGCCTGTGCCCTAGAGCCCGTGAGCCACAACTACTGAGCCCATGTGCCACAAATACTGAAGCCCACGTGCCTAGAGCCCATGCTCCACAACAAGAGAAGCCACCGCAATGAGAAACCCGCGCACCGCAACGAAGAGTAGCCCCCTGCTCGCCGCAACTAGAGAAAGCCTGCGTGCAGCAACGAAGACCCAACATGGCCAAAAATAAATAAGTAAGTAAATAAATAAATAAATTTATTTAAAAAAAGAAATACAGCATGTTCTTAATATTAAGGCTTGGGGTATGTAAACCTGCTTTGACCCACATGACAAGAATGTTTTGAGCATAAGTAAAACTGCTCTTTGAAGGAAAGAGCATCTGGGTGTCTTCCTGATGACGCTTTACTTTCTATAGATAAAACAATGTCCTTCACTTCTAGTCTGGCAAAAGATGTCAGTGGGAAATCTTCACAAATTTAAATAATTCTTTGGACTCTCCTGGGTAAATCTGTGTGTTTAATTTTGCATCTACAGGATACATGTTCCACGTTGATGCCATATTTATGGGAAGCAAAAGAATGCCTCTGACTCTGCTTCCCCATGACATTTGTACGAGTTCCTGCTCTCACTCACTCTGGGACTCTTTTACCCAGAACCATACCCAATTGGACCCAGTGAGGAAGTCATATAAATTTGTAATCTCTGACTTTACCTCACCTTTCCTTCCTATTCAGACACAACACCCAAGGGGTCTTCCTTTTTATAAATCCTGAGGGACACATGTCCACTCAAACATCTGGAAATCAGGCATACATTCCAACCCAGTATACAGATAGGTAGATAGAGATATCAATATCAGTATCAATATAGATAAGAAGCTGCATTTAAGAGATGCTGAAGCAAAAGAAGGGCCTTTAAGTCTCTGATAACAAACTCACTCATTTTGCAAGTGCGCAATCAGAAGGATGGATCGTTAATCACACTAGAGCAGTAAAGAACCCCGTGAGGTATGACCAGCGGACAGCAGACAAGCATTCCTACCGACACAGTGGTGTCAGTCCCCTCTGGCTGGAAGCTCCAGGAGACTGAGGTCAACGTGCCGGTCGTGTTAGTTGACTTGAACTTGCATGTCAGCTTCCCTTGTGTCCCATTTGCCACGAAGATTTCTTTTGGTGTATACACCTCCAGGGCCGATACACCAGCAGTCACTGGAGAGAAAGGAACAAGGAAAGCTTAAGGGTAGGATTTAGCATGCATACCACTGTGCATGTTTATCAGAGGACAAAGAAAAGATATAAGAACGTTACAAGATGTATACAGTAATCCATCACCACTGTGTACTATACATTTCTGGCGGAATATTATATAGCCAGGTACTTCCTACAAACTAAACCACCGAGAGTCTGGGATTTTTGCTTTCTAATAAGAAGACATTTTTACTGGTTCAGTTATACCTAATATTTATGTTTTCTTTTGAACTAATAGACTATTTTTCAGAGCAGTTTGAGGTTTGCAGAAAGTAGGGAGTTCCCATATATTCCCTCTCGCTTCCCCCAAGCCCGTTTCCCCTATTATTAACATCTTCCATTAGTGTAGCACTAACGTTGAGAATATTCTATATTTGGAATCACTCAGTAAATGTAGCCTTTTCAGATTGGCTTCTCTCACTTAGGAATATTAATTTAAGCTTCCTCCATGTCATTTTGTGGCATGAAAGCCCATTTCATTTTATTGCTGAATAATATCCTTTGTACGGATGTACTACAGTTTATCCATTCATCTACTGAAGGACATCTCATCATGCTTCTCTGATGTTCTGTTTTTAATGATGTGGAGGCCATATTTTTACTTCTTTAAATAGTTCTCATATTCACCTGCTACATTTCAATTTATATCAAGTTGATCTTTTCTCATCTTCCATATATAAAGCAATTAAAACTGTTTTAGGTAAGAAATCACTTTATTTTAAAGCCATGTTTATTATTTAATTAACCCTTTTCCTGTAAGGTATTTAAGGCAAAAATAACATATCTTGCTTTCATTAGTGAAATCTTACCTACCTCTGGATTTTAGTGTGCTAGATACACGTGTACTCAAGAAATAACTGACCACACTGGGTCACATATTCATTTACTCACTGAGTTTTTTCAGTTAGCCTAAGCCCAGGAAGTAGTAATTAAAATGTCTATCACTTGGCATATAAAAATAGCTCTTTTTCCGAGATCTATCAGAGGCAACTGCAAGAATTATTAAGGATTCCTGCTAAAATAAAATAATCTTCACGCAAAAAGAGACCCTTTCATGGCCTAAAGAAGGTTAGAAAGAAACTTATTTGGCCTAAAAGTGGAAACAATTAGAGCTAATATAGAAGAGATTACAAACACCCATTTTCAAAATAAGGTTTTTTTAAAGAAATAGTCAGGAGAGAATCCCTATCTGCAGTGTTCCAATTATTCCTAGAATGTAACAGACAAGCAGAATAAGGAAGGGTATTGTCACCCAGGACTGATGGTCATATTCAGAATTTTTTCTTCCTGAGGTCTTAACTATGACTCCAGGCTAAGGAGAACAAGAGTACTCCCCCATTCCTCCCAACCATCTTCCAAATGTTTATCCTCACGACACAATGGGCACTTTTGGCCATTCTTCTAAATAAACTGATAGCCACACTGCATCAAGCAGGTTTTTTTCTGCTAAAGAGGGTGGATTATTATTATAGGGAACAATGGATTATTCTTCGTGGTCCAAACCTCAAAACAAGCCCTTCTTTTAAACAAGAAGCAAACAAAAGACAGTTCCTTGCTATTGTGGGTAGGCAGAAAAGCAGCCCCAGGGCACTTGAGTTCAAAATGAAGGACAAAGCATAAAACTGGACAATTTGACCAGTTTATTCCAGGGAGAAGCACTGGTTTGTAACCCTTATTTACTCTGTGTGATTGACTAGTTTTCTCCACTGGGATGAGCACTGCATGGAAAGCCACGGTCTTTAAAGTCAACAGATAAAGTTTCTCAAGGATTTTCTCAAACCAGATCCCTGCCACAAGGCCTGGCTGCAAGAACTGTTACCCTGAGATGTTATTTAATGATGCAACTAGGCCAAGTGCCCAAGTTTACAGTCATGGAATTTTGACCAAAAAGACCAACCAAATGCCTAAATGGGCTTTTAGACAATCTATTTAAGAATTTAATTATGCCAAAGCTGGTTAATAAACAAGTGGCTTTTAAAAACAACAACATACCATCACTCTTTGGCTAATTTGGACATGCAGCTCTTAGAGCCAGGAAAATGAATTCCGACTCCAGCCAATCAGCCAGTTGCAGAAAAATAACTCCATACATAGCTAGCTAACTTCCTCTTATCCCTGGCTCTTTCTCCTACTCTTGTCATAATTCTTGGAGCTTCCATTAGTCATAGGAAGAACCTTCCAAAACCCTGATCTCTTTGTTTATCTTATCTTCTCCAAAGATCTTATCCTCAGGCCTATCCCAGCTGCTAATTCCCATAATCATACCCTAGCCCAGGGTTTCTCAACCCTGGCACTATTGACAATCGGGCCAGATTAGTCTTTGCTGTGGGGCTTGCCTGTGTGTTATAGGATGTTTAGCAGCACCCCTGACCTCTACTAGGTGTCCGTAGCAGCTTTTCTCATTCCAGCTGTGACAACCAAAAGTGTCCTTAGACAATTGCAAATGTCCCCTCCTCAGGGGCAAATTGCTCCTGGTCGAGAACCGCTGCCTGAGACCCTATCATTAATACCTGTTCCCCCTCCACAATCTTAATTTTCAGGCTCTCTGCCCTCTGACTGACCACTTCTGACTTTCCAGAACACTTCCTCCAATACCCTGATTTTATCAATCCTTCAGCCACATTAGAACCCAGAATCCATCAGTCCTCCAATCCTTTTACTGTCTCATCCCCGGCATGTCTCCACTTGTCCCGCTCGGATTAGATCCACGGTGCAGCACAAGACTCGTCCCCTGGCTGCACTGTCAGCTCCCCTGCCTCTCTCTCCCGTCAGCGCATTCGCCCGGCCAGACCTCAACTCTGGTTAAGTCCACTTCTCTATCCATTCTGCATCTCTACCAGGGTGGCTGACCACAGCTGGAGAAAAGCACACAATCCCACTGACTGGTTTTACCTTAAATTCATGTCCGCTAACTTCAAAGAGGACTCTTAATGGTGCCCAGCAATCCTCCCACATTTCCCTACTCCATCTAGGCTCCACTCTCCTAAATGACTATTTTATACTTTCCTCTCTAACCTCAACTGTGGACCTCCCCCTGCTTCTCTCGCTCAGCTGATGACTGTGCTTCCTGTTTCCCTAAGAAAACAGAAGCAATCACAAGAGAACTTCTCTGTGTCCCCAACTGCATCCTACCGTCACCTTCTGCATCTGTGCCCTGTCTTCCTATGTGGGAAATGTCTGCACTGCTCTCCACTGTGCACTGGATCTCATCTGCTCTCACGCACCTAGGGACACTGACCCAGCAAGTCTCCCTTTCTCTCCTGAATATTTCATTCTCTACTGAGCTACTGCCGTCAGCCATAGAATTATATACATTTATATCCCAACTTTAGGGGGAAAAAATCTGGACCCTGCATTGCCCCACAGCTAAGATCCCTTTGCCCTCCTCTAACTTGTAAATCTTGAAAGAATTGTCTGCAGTCACTGTGCACAGTCTCCGTCCTCCCACTATCTCCTGAAGGAACCCAGTTCAGGCTTTCATCCCCAGTACTCCACTAAAACTGTTCTTGTTAAGGAATCCAACGACCTCCATGTGGCTAAACCAACAGTTAATTCTCAAATCTCATCTTACTGATCTGCCTGCATTTGATACAATTGATCACTCCCTCCTTTTTTTCCAGTTTGGTCTCTGAAACATCACCCCCTTTTGATTCTCTCCTCATCTCATTACCTGCTCCTTTTCTCGTCCCCCTGACCTCTACATGCTGGACAGTCCCAGATCATCCCTCTGACCTCTTATCCAGTCATTCTCCAGTCTCTCTCATCTATATATCTATCTATTTTGGCTGCACCATGCGGCATGCAGGATCTTAGCTCCCCAACCAGGGATGGAACCTGCACCCCCTGCAGTGAGAAACCAGAGTCCTAACCACTGGACCGCCAGGGAAGTTGGTAACCTCATCTAGTTTCAGGGCTTTAAATACCTCCTAAATGCCAATGACCCCTGTACACACACACACACACACACACACGTGTGCATACGTATTCAAACGTTTATCCAGCAATGTCACTTGGATCTAGCTGGCATCTTAAATTTAACAATGTCAAGATTGAACCCCTGATTCCCACCTCCAAACCTGCCCTTCCACGGGCTTCTCCATTTCAGTAAAGGACAACTCCAGATGTCCAGTGGCTGAGGTCGAAGCTCTGGACAACTCTCTTTCTCACAACTTACGTCTAAGCCGTCACAAAACATGTGTCTCTACAAAAAACATATATAGAAGTCGATCTCTCCATGCTCTTTCAGTGCTACCATCTTGGTTCAGGCCACCATCATCTTTCACTCAGGTTATTTCCGTGACTTCCTAAGCTGGTTCTCTCTTCCACCTCATCCACTTAACTGCAGCCAATCCACGGAGAGGCCAGAGAGATCTCGGTAAAATGCAAGTCAGATCTTATCACTCCTCTGCTCAAAACCCTCCAAGTTCCCCACGTCAGCCAGGATCAGGTCTAGGTCCTCACAGTGACCCACAGAGCCTGATGTAAGCTAGCCCCCCGGCCACCTCTCAGACTTCATCTCCTACGCCTCCTCCCTAAACATGCTGAGCAGCCACCCTGTCACCTTGTTGCTCCTCTGCCTGTGATGAGAGCCCCCAGGACAGAGAGTGCTATGGACAAGGAGACAGGAAGTCATGAAGACATGAGAGCTGAGAGAAGGGCATTCAACCAAGAGAACTCCTGGGAGTCAGGTGCTCTGCACAGCTGATCTCAGGGCGAAGTTTCAGCAGAGACCTGTACTTAAAACTGCATGTGGTTACCATGCACATCATAGAAGCCCTAAGTGCTTACAGCAGTTTCTGATCAACTGCGATGAGCATGAACGCCAGCAAAGTTTCTCCTATGTGGGGAAAGAGAAGGAAAGCATAGATCTCCCCCTCAGACTACATTCCATGCAGCCCAAGCCAGGGCCCAAGCCAGGGATGAATTCACTGGTTTCTTAAACAGTTGGGAATGGTTTGCTT